TCAAATGGTAAGACAACCTCTGTGAAACGGTGCTACGAAGCTCTTCTTTGCATGCTATCATAGCAAGACCCTGAGGTAGCTAACTAGATAGGCATTTAAAAAGTCATTTTAGCCTTCTAGATGCACAACATATCGGCTAACACTTCGGTATTGGTCATCATTTGTTAAAGACCAAGATATGGGCGTCCGCCTAGTGTGTCAATCTTGGCTGATATTTAACGGCAATGATCTACATCACTAAAACACAAATGCATACATGCACAAATACACACACACACACACACACACATACATACATACACACACACAGGTACATACACACACACACACACACAGGTACATACACACCCACACACATACACACACACACAGAACTGCATTTCTGTGAGACTTTCCACTTCAGTTTAGTACGTCGAATTGCACAACAACTCCAACAAACCCAAAAGGATACTAATGAAACAGCAGATTAACTTGTAAAAACCAAAAATGAGTTTGTTTCGCGAGGACATTCCCTCGACGCCCGTTTGTTCCCGTATTTTCTTCCTCTGTGAGGACATCTGAAGACCTTGTCCCCAAAATAACAGCAGCAGAACCTGCACCCACACATTCAGAAACTCATGAGCCAACCGTGTGAACCTTCAGCAGAGAGGACTGTCACAGTGGGAAGTCAGATGTGCACTGCTTCGGGATCAGCCTCGACATGCCTGGAAGCTCTGCAAGGCCCAGAGAATGCCTAGCAAGACCAAGAACAACCAAACACACAGGAGTAGAAAAATCACTGCACTGCGGAACAGAAAAAAGAGAGACACAACGGAGACCTTCACCGTATGACAACAATGCATGGTTACGCAACAACTTCAATTCTTATAATGAAGAAATAAAACACCAACACTAACTCCATGTCTCTCACCTCCCGCTTCCTTAGAACTGAATCTTTCCTGAAAGCTCCATCTTCCTGTCAGTGCTACATTGATGGGAGAAGATGGAGGCTCTCCACAGGTTCTCCACAGCCTCCATCAGATCAGCTTTCCACCAAAAGAAGCCACAGCTCAGTAGAGCACTTTCTCACCTCCCTCCCTTCCCTGTCCTGTCACTGGTTTCCCACTTGTCTTCTTGCCTTCCATTTCTTCTGTAACTGTGCCTTCTTCCTGCCCGAAAGTGACTTCAGAAAATCCTAAGCCTGGTTTTTATCGTACCAGGTAAACAGTTATCTAAATAGGAGTTGGCAACCTATGAGCTGTGTCCAAAGTCCGATAAGTGCTGCCTGAGGAGAGGATAAATCACAGACGAACCTTGATAAATATTGAAATTGTGCATCTGGAGCCAAACAGATGCACGGCTGAGCAGCAAACACAGAGTGCTGGCCTAATGGTTAGGGCACTTGTGATCTAAAGGCTGCTGGTTCAAATCCCCGACCAGCAAAGTACCACTGAGGTACCCTGAGCAAGGTACCACCCCCAAGCGCTAAATTAGCTACCCCCTGCTATGTCACATATGGGTTAAATACAGAGGATACATTTCGTTGTTGTGCCGTGATGTGTCAACAATGATAATTAATCCCTTTCACTTCAGAGCCCGAAGCCCCTGGCCCTCTCTCCCCCCTGTGGAGACCCCCCCCCCCCCCCCCCCCCCCCCCACTTAAATTGTCTCCATCCCATGTTTTTTTTGGGGGGGGGGGGGGAAATCAAACCCTTAAGTGTGATCGACTTCTCTCGTCCACTCTCTCTTTATGAGCTGCACATGCTTTTAGCCACGATATTCACTGTGAGCCGTGGGTGTACACATGATTACCCAAACACCTACATGCTCGGAGACGTGCTCGCATTTGCACAGAACCTCAAAGGAAGGAGGAGGAACATGTAAATTGAAGAGCTGTCAGCATAAGCAATCCCAGAGCCGCTTATAAAATCCACTTATCATCAATGTCTCCTACTGTTCACCATTGTCACATAAGTTCTTTTATGTACTACACTGCCTTGTATTTTAAGGTAACTTTCATCAGATAAGATCTAATTTTACTACATTCATTTCACTGGATTACTAGATAGGTCCTTCCAACCAGTCCAATGAAGTTCATTTTAGATCAATTGCTCTGAGAAAAGGCAAGGATTTAAATATAAGTCAAGCGATACATGAGATTAGTCTGGAAAATTCACCACATGGTACCTTCCAAACACTAACGCCAGAAGTATCTTTTTATTATTCAACGCTATTTGATATCAAACCTGATCCTTCACCACAGATGCTAATTACAGATCAGAGGACAGGGATAAGATATAGGATCAGGCTTCTGTAACCTGCCATGACAAGAGTTAACCAATCACGACGATGTCACAACAGCGATGTGCCCAGACACTGGCGCTGACAGGGCTGGGCAGGCCGGGGTGAGCCCAGGGTGACTCAGCAGTCTGCCCGCACACTGCCACCAGACACCTCCTTCATGTCAACAACTTCCTATGTCCAGTCTGCATCTCACAGAAAGACCTTTGGAATAAGCAGGGGACCATATCAAAGGTCTCCTGGGGACAGACAGACAGAGATCCCATTACCAAATGAAAAGGACCCTCTTGTACATACATGTATAAAAACATACGTGCATCTGTGCATGCACAGGGCCGCCATCTATCCTAACCAGCTTTACCAGTTTAGCACGCCAGCCTGGCCCAGTTCGGCAACCGGTGCGGCATAAGCAGACAGCTCTGCCCAGGCCCCAGATGGATTCTGCAATGTCCTGAGCCATGGTACAGGAGTAAAAGGGGGGGGGGGCACAGGAGCAGGAGGGTGACGGGAAAGCCCCCCCCCCCTCAATCACACACGCGGAAATGCTGGCCAATCTTTCCACGCCGACAGATTTATGGCAGAAAAAATTAAAGAAACTGCAGCCTCCGTAACGAGACGGAGCGTGGACTTCATCCATTGCTGACACAAGCGCAGGCGCGCGCACACACACACAAACACACACACACATACACACACACACAAACAGCACCATTCTTCATGACCAGTAGTTTAATGGCTTAACTATTTTAACTACCAGTATGCAGAGCACATTTACCAAACACCACTGCCTCCACCACAAGTTCAATCACCCTGTGACTCCTACGATCAAGTGAACAATTTTAATGCACAAAAAACAGTCCAGGCACCAATATATATATATATATATATATATATATATATATATATATATATATTTGCTCAAAGTTTTTTTTTCTTCTCATGCTCCAGTGTACAGTACTCTTACAGTATGTCCCCCCACCCCACCCCAAGCTTGGAACAACCAAAGGAACAGCAGGACGTCCAAGATGTAGAAGTGGCGTCAACATGGGGGGGAGGTGGGGGTGATCTCCACGGTGATAAGTCTGGCCTGGCGTATCCGCCAGGGTGCTGCACAGTGCATGTGACAGTTGGGCTAAACACTACAGTGAACCGATGGTCCTTGTCCTGACACCCGAATAGCCTGCTACATCGCCCATTTCCTCTGGAAAGGAAGTCTGAAAGTCATCTATTAGGTTATTTGTGGGGACTGTTTACATGCATATATTCTTTATGAAGTGCAAATGCTTGCTTCTTGAATTTCTTTCTCACTGTTGGTAGTCCACTGGCATTCTACCACCACAACAGAGGCAAATCTCTGCACTGCACGGGAGTCGAGCAATCATGTCTCAAAAGAGGTGCGCAGACCCACCAACCCTCAGATTTCTAGCTTAGTACCACTGAACAACCCACCCTTTGCACTGATTGCTGGAAGGATCCTACGGCCCAGCTGATGATTCAGGCCACTCCACAGAGCTATCATTAAATGCTAGCTGACCCAGAACAGACTAAGCAGAATGGATAAACCCTCCACATCTTGTTTGGATTTAGTGCTATGGAGAGGGACAATCAAGCTCAATGCAAAAATGCATGCCAGATACTCTTTTTATGACAAGTATAACCTGTCTCGCTACTCCAGTTTTTAATCTTCATCATCCACATAAATACAAATATCATTAAGGTTTTCCTTTTCCACTGCACAGTGTGCAGATCGGGCTTAGAGAACCGCTACGCCCCTAGAGCAGTACGGAGAGGGAAGTTTTGACTGAGAAATCAGGCTAAACAGATCCAAAGTAAACAGAGAGTGTGGTGTGAAGCAAAAGCGTGTCGCAATCCTGTCAAATACCGAGCAGATTGCCGTGCCAGTGTTTACTGCAGCAGGGGGAAGTTTGATACGGACATCAAAACAGAAGCTACGTTAAATTGAGCATGCGACTGTCCATTTCAAGGCAATTACATCGTATAGAGCTAAAACTGACGCCATTTCGACACACACACACACACACACACACACACACACACACACAAAATAGCGGAACTGTTCTCGGTGGTTACTGCAAAGTTTTCGCAGAATTTTCCAATAATAAAATGAAAAAAAAAAAGAAATAAAAATAAAAACACAGGTCAGCGCCGCAGCAAGTCTGAACTCAATTGCAGGCAGTAGCACACTAAAACTGCCAAAGGGTGCATTAACTGGACTTGGGACGGATGGGCGCATAAACAAAAAGGCCACGCGTGATAACAGACGTGAAATAAATGCTCGTAAGGAGCGACAGAATAGCATTAAGGCCAGAGGAACAACTTTTATGCTCAAAGCGCGGCTCGTAACTCCATCTGACTTCATCCGACACGGACATTATCCTGCGCTTTTCTGCGCACAGACCGACCCGCAAACCCCCACCGCTCACTCAGGTATTCCTGCGGGATTAGCGAAACCGCGTAAAAGCCCCACGCCACGTCCCTCCCCCCTGCCCGGGCCGCCCGCAAACACGCAGGTGGACTCACCGTCCTCCGTCTATCTGTGACAGTTCGCAAAGAAGCCAAGCGTCGCCCGTTCAGGCCAGCAGGTCCACCCTCCCCGCCGCCTAAGTGCGCCGCCCGCAGACCGCAACGCAGCGCAGCGCAGCGCCCCCGCCCCGCTCACCCCACAGCCAATGGACTTGCGGCGGCCCCGCCCCGCTCACCTCGCAGCCAATGGGCTCGCTACAGCGGCCCCGCCCCTCTCACCCCGCAGCCAATGGGCTCGCCGACAGCTGCCCGACTGCCGCCCGCACCGCTAGTCTGGGAGAGGATTCCGCTGGAGGACGCGGCTTAATTCCAGCCCCGCTTCAGCGCCTACTGCCGTGCAGCGCCTTTCCGTCTTCGGGAGACGCCCGACGCTTCCCCTTCTGTTTGACGGACAGATGAAGCGCGCAATCGGTCAGTTCAACTCCTTTTACGGAACGATGCGGCTGCCCAATGGCGACGCCGTCAGGCGGAATGGAAAGCAGTCCGGGCGACCAAAGATGACGGACGAGTCACCCAGTTGTACCCGCACTATGTCGGCAGTGGGAATGCGGGGACTTCGTGCCGGGACCATATTATGTTGAGTTGTGACTTTATGGGTTGCGTTGACTAAAAAATACGAAAGCATCCTTTTTTTCCGTGGATAAAGTAGCTGAGTAATTGCACTTTTAACACAGCAAAGGCGAATCTAAAATTTACCTCCCCAGCCAAGGGTCTGAATCCTAGAATAACTAAATAAGGTACATTAACGACGAAAAATTGTCCGTCAAATTAAAATCTACTGGCAGCTCACATTAGCTTTAAGAAGAAAACCCAACATCACGATGGTTTGTTTGATTTTTGCTTCGTGAGATAGATTTCTGAATACAAAGCACTCGATTAAACACTGATGTGCACCTGGTCGTTCAATAGCTGTCAAATGATTTGAAACTTAACAGGTAACATTATCAGACTCGAGCGGCTTAGTGGGTAGCAAAGCCGGGTGCGTCTACAAGCTTGTGGCTTTGTGGGTTAAGGTGGGTTCTTTGCGCATGATCGGAAGGTTGCGGGTTCGAATCCTCTGGGGTAATTTCACCGTTGCGTGTAAATAAAATGTAATATTGGCTTGTTTTCCCTCTGCTGTGTGGGGTTTTTCTGGGAATTCCAGATTCTTCCCATATAATTAGGTTAACTGTTGTCTGGAAATTTTCCATCGAGTTTGAACGTGTGTATGTTTGTATTTGCCCTGTGATGAACTGGTGTCCTGTTTAGGTTATAACACAACCATATGCCCTATCCTGCCTAGAATAGGCTCCAGGCAACAATGTCACCCTGACTGGAATACAACAGATTTTTAGACAGTTAAATGCGCAGGGTACCATGTGTATGCTATTTTCACTCTTCATATAACCCACAGAATAACAGATTAAATCTTACCACACTGTTAGAAAGAAATGTACCAATTTGAGGGTATAGTTATTTGTCACTTGGCTGTATCCTCAAGGGTCTGCTAATATGTAAATGTACCTTTTAGTCAAATGTAAGGTACAGAAATGGACTCGGGAACATGGACTCAGGAATGGAAATTAAACCCGAGTGGGGTAACACTGTGCTGTGGTATTAAGGCTTGCTTGCCGCAAATTTGTAATATAAGATGTGTATATGTATAACTCGTTTTGGATTAATCAAGCTGGCATTCGCGTCCGCTGAAATTTCAACAAAAACACAACGTAAATCTGAAAGTAGGCCTAACTGACCAGAGCAAACCAGGCGAATTGTTTAACCTTCTGCCTGTATCTTGAAATAAAAATAAACATGAAATCAGATGGTCTTTACAGGGGCTATTATTAAAGAGCACGTTCTTTTTTAGAACTAGTACTCTTTCGTTCCTGCCGCTGCGATTCTTTAGTCTGCCGGTTATTACAATAGATAGATAAAATGATAAATTCATTATCCCCCCCCCGGAAGTTTGTGGTAGCTACTCTGTATACATGTAAAGTGCACGGATGAGCAAGCATGCATCCGGATGTTATTAGTACACAAGAAAAGAATCACGAGCGTAGTTTTTCGAAGAGGTTTATTGAAAAAAATGTAAGGATGGCATTGCACCACTGACACTAAATCAAACCATGTAGTGTCTTTATTGGTAATATTTTGATATGAATAAGGTTAGAGAAACAATGCAATTCCAATAACTGACCCTTACAAGTAAGATATATACATATTTTTAGTGTCAGATATCCAGTAACTGACATTCATACATCACGCTCAGACCTGTAAAGTTTAATTGATTGCAGCATTCGTATTTCGAAATTTGTTCATCGACATCACCGAATTTCTCTCTTGGTTGTATCACGCTTTTGTGTTCCCTACCGCTGTAATTACTGTCGCTTTTATTATAAACTTTATTAAACTGAGCAGGCATTTTTATGATTTTATATTCTGAAGCATGCCGAAGGATTGACAGTTTCTGCATAGTAATGGCTATACAAGTGCCAGTATAGATTCCTTTAGAAAATACACACATATATACATACGTACATAGGATTATTTACACAAAGGCAGAGTGAAAAATACTACTGTTCAGAACGTAAGTGCTTATGACGGATGCATGACCCGGCGAAAGAGGGAAGTGTTAGCAAAGCATTCTGCCGTTCGCTGAGTGGACCTCACTCATCCACAAGATGGCGCCACAGTCGATGTCATTAAAGACTTCAGGGCGAACTCAAACTTGTGGAATTCTCACATTAAGAGGTGTACTTTGGCGTCGTTTTCTATCAGGGCGAAGAAAGGTCATTCAGCGTTCAAAATATATAATATAATGAGTGAAAAAAGCTAAAATTACACATGGTGATTTTTTTTTCTTCAAGCAGTGCTTGTATCAATGCAGAGGTAGGTGGTAGTGTGGCAGTGGTTAAAGAACAAGGCCTTGGACCTGAGGGTGCGGGCTATAAAGCAGGGTCAGTACTTGGTACATTATCCTTGAAAAAAGGTATTTTATCCCAGCTGCTCCAGTGAAAACATTTCCAATTCAGTTGTAACCGAATTCACCGAATACAAATGAACATTATACAGTACTAGGAGAAAAATACTCTCATTGCCCAAATATCCATTAAAGACTTTCTTGAGCACTGGGGAAAACATCAGTTCCCAAGATTTTTGAAAAGAGGCCTACAAATATTCCAGTAGTGCCATTCTGGTGCTTAAGGCCTTAATGACCATGGCTCACAGTCCTAATGTGCAGGTTTATACAAGAGCAGAGGATCTTGCTCTCACCCATTTTTAATGAGTGTAAATTATGGGATAGGAAGTTTTTGCTCTCCTTACGACATCTACCTGACTATTCCCCATAGATAAACACCTTGGGTTCTGATGCACAAATTAATCTAAATTCAAATTCTGATATACATGAAAAACTGTATGAAGACAAGGTCTATTGTATTATGCACTGGATCTTTTGCACAATTCCAGTGGAAACCAAGACTGATGCATTCACTGTTCAAGTCCTTTGGACAGAGTGCAACGCACTTACCTGTGCTGCCCACACCTGTGATGAACTGTTCATAGGGGTGATTTGGTGACCCAGATGCAGTGAACACAAATAAAAAAAAAGCTTAAGAACTTTCATTCTAAATGACTTGACTCCTCCAACTTGCTTAATCATTACATTTATCTAGTTATGCTCAAATGAAGCTTCATGAACCATCTGCTGTATTTTCGGACCCCACTAGATGGTGCTCTCTGTTCAATCAAGCTTTATTTGGCCATTACTAGCCATCACTATCCTATATCATGAAGTTTGTAAGATTTTTCTTGGTTTCTTTCTTTTTTAATTAGTCTTTTTTGTAGTTCATAGGGATTGAATTATGTGGAAGAATACTGTATACTTCAATCACAAAATTCTGCTGGTGGACACAAAATACCACTTGAATCCATGTTTTTTCAGCAACAGTTTAAACGCATATTGTAATTTAATGAGTAAATCTTAAAATAATAATAATAATAGTTGTAGTAAGGTTTTTGTATTAACCACATTTTTTCATAATAGTGACAAACATTTTATATTGACTAATCCTGAGTTTATTTGCCACCTACCTGTGTCGTCCTTCAGGCAAGCTTCTCCTTAGCAGAAAGGGAATGAGACAAATTGTGACATTGGCAACTCATATTTCAGGTACTTTCTTTTTTCCCATTTTGACTTTTTTTCATTTGCAGAATGTCTGCCACATTTCCAAGGTTTGTTGAAATAAAGCCATTTTAAAAAACAATCTAATAAATGTCAATAAACACTTACATTAACTCAATCCAGCTACGAAAACTGTTGATGATAATATTTTAGGTACTAACTGATCTGCGTTATAGTAGTTACCAGATGGTTGCTCTAACTTTTCCTGCCGTGTAACGTTTTGACCGGTCGATAACAAGTCAGTGGCTATACATTTTCTCGAAAGGCCAAAGCAAAAAACGAAAGCATTCACAAAAACCGGCCAGAAGTTTAAGGACGCATTTCTTTATGACAGTGTTTAGGCTTTCGGTTTTTGCTGATGAAGCAGGACCAGAGATACATGTTGCTTAAGGGCTAAATAAATTATTTGTGCGCATTTTTATGGCACCAGCAGGCTTTTGCTGTGGGTTCAGACTGACTAAGTCGCTATGTTTACATGACTACACATATTAGTATGTACACTGCTCCCCAGAACAGGGCAGGGCTGTGTCTACTGAAAGAAGATCATTCTTTGCTCTGACTGAGCAAAGAATGACATACCTAAAGGCTCCTATTATGCTTATATTCATAATATTATTTCAGAGTCTTCTAGAAGAGATTTACATACTTCAATGTTCCAAAAACACATTATTTTTCCTAATACTGTACACCTCTATTCACTCTGTAACTGTGTCCGAAATGCTCTGTTAGATCTTTAAGCCCCATGCCCAATGAGCCCAATGTGCTGATTGGTCAGCTTGCCTGATTGGTCAGCTTGGCCTACACGTTCCGCCTGTCTTGCAGTCTGCAAACAGGACCTTGCAGGTAGGTGGCCAATAAGGACTGTGTTATGAAGTGACCTCACCATGTCACGGAAGTAAAGGGCTTTAATTACAATAAGGTGTTTCAGGCAGATTAGAAGTGGATTTTGTAGTGAGAGTTACTCCCTTTGGCATATACTTTGGGCCTTAAGACTTTGCAGACTGTTTACATGCACATAAAACCACATAACACACTAAAGAAAGGAGAAAAAAAGAAAAACATTATAGGGCCTCTATAAAGCCAGAGATGTAGGCCAAACAAGCCAAACCTTTGGACTGACCAACGTGTGAAAACACCTTGCTATTGTTCTCTGGTTCAGCATAGTGCAGGAAGAATCAGGTCTCTAAGGTTTTACACAATATCTACACAAGGGACTTGATATGTTGACTGGCATTCATGCCTTCTGTCCATCAGGCAAAGAAGAAGCATGCTATGAATGGGGATCGGATCAAGACAGAGCCCGACCACCCCTTACTGCACACATTAACATTGCGCATAGGCCATAGCAAGCGGCCTCGCAGGCCGACTCAACACCACCCAGTGTTAGGCCAGCTAACACCCAACACAGGGTTCGGAAGCGCCATGGACACAAAGATATAGTGTTAGAAATTTTCAGTGCAAGACGTAATGGCTACTAATATATATATATATATTTTTTCTTTTACGTACTCCAACTCTGAACCCAGCAGTAAAGGGAAATTCTATAGACCACCTTACTAGTTAAGGATGGCACCAGTGAAAGGACTCATGATTCAGAATCATCTAAATATGCTGCAAGCTTAACGCTTACAATCCGGTGCTGCTTCTCTACATGGTAACTGAAGCTGGAAAGAGGGAAGCCCCAGCGGGTCAGTCACGAGAGGCACGTCTCCTCTCAGCAGTGCGAAGCACATCCCAGCAGGTAGGAGTGTGTGTCTCCCCACGTTCCTCAATGGCTTTTCCTAGGGGGTAGGTAGGGCATCGCGGCCTTAGCTCCCCGGGTCTGAGCCGTGTCTCTGCGGAGTCCGTGAGTCCAGGACTGCAGGTTGCTCGGGCAGCGATAGTCTACGTTGGTACTCGTGGTCCATGGACACCACCGCCATCCCAACCCCCGGGAGGTCTGCGGGGGTGGGCAGGTACCACACTGGGCTGACTCCTGGGGAGTCTGTGAATGACTCCTGAGTCTCGGGTGTGATGTCAAACGACTGGGGATCCAGGATCTGGGAGGAGAATGAGTGAAGGAAGACAAAATTATTAGGAAAGAATAGGGGGAGGAACTGGCAGAGCACTGAACAGCGAGCCACTAATCACCAAGAGGGAGCAAGTGTCAGGAACGATCCCCATTAATGAGGACCTGTCCTTCATCATGAAGTGTAGGACATTTTTGCTAATAAAATCAGTTAATATGACTCACTTATGCTTAACAAAAAAAATCATTATTATCCTTGAGTTTTATCACATATAGAGTGCAGAGGAGAATGTCGTGGCTCATTATGTCATTATCTGCATTTTGTGCCACAGTAGCCCTTCTGTTGTTACTGTATGTAGCACATGAGACAGCCTTCGTTTACATCTCACATCGACCAGTCCTGGCATTTCCCTTCTCTCTGTGGTTACTCACTGACTGTCAGCACTCACAAGCCCTGCTGACAGTCTCTAAGTCTGCTCAGAGATGCTCTGACCCTTTCATCTGGCCATATCAATTTGGCCCTTATCCGGACCAATCAGGCCTGTAATCTTACTCATAACCTCAATATTTCGTCTTATTGTGTGTATTATCAGCATAAAAATAATCTCACAAGTTATTCTTATTATATGTTAACCTATTGTCAATCCACTTAAACACAATTAATTAGGACTGGGGTGTTTTGCAACAAAAAGTAGCATTCACAAGAGATTTGGGTTGTGATCAGCTTATTTTAATTATGGACCAATTGAAATATGTTTATATTACACAGTTAAATATTTGTAAATTTCACCGTGTAATAAGACTACTCGAATACAGTTATATGTCTGGAAACAGCTTTGATTGGTTTGTTTAATAGGGCAAAGCACCTACAGTTCTGTGCAAAAGTCTTACTGTAGGCAGTCCAAAGAAATGTTTAAAGCTGTTTCTCTCGGTAGCAAGTG